CTCCTTCCTGCTGGTTTACAGCCCTGCACACTGGGGAGCCAGCTTTCTGCTGCCAGTGACTCTTGTTACAGTATCAGGGAGGCACACGTGTTGTCCATTTCTTCCAGGTGCATATTTTATCCAAGTCCCACTGAAATCAGTGGAAGAAGTCTTGGGGTGCTGGATCAGAACCCAGTATTTTCAAACCTTTTGAAATGAAATGAACCCTACAGTTTGTTTAAAGGGAGATGCTGGAAATGAGTCCGCACCCAGCTAGACGGAGCTTGAGATGGGAATTTCTGAGGTCAACGCAAGCAAGCTTGACTTGCTACTCATTTCTTTTGGTTCTGGCACCAGTAGCACCATTTTAGAAACTCTTTCCACTTCCCATTTGAAAGATTTCAACAAAGCACTGTAGGCATATATAAGTAATAGCAAGGTATTCCTCCAGGTTGGGCTAGTGAGTAGGCATCATTTGCCCCATCCATTCGCAAATGCCACCTTTACATAACAGCTACTCTTGGCTGACCAGCTCTCACAATCAACAGCTCAACTTCCATTTCCTGAGTTTTCTGAGAGCTTTTCATAGGCAATTAACATGCAGTTTTAGGGAAGGGGGGCAGGACTGTGCTAAATACACTAAAAAGAAAGTTAAACGTAGGATTATTTTCAAGCAGATAAGGTGACATGGACATGGCTGACAGTTTTAAGTGTAGTTTGTAGTGTGGCAATCTTTTTTTTTTTTTTAACAGGATATGCAAGAAATTTGAGTTTTCTAATTGTAATGAGATTTTCAACTGCAGTTTCAAATACCATGGTGGATCACTTCAGTCCTTTACCATGACAACTGCATTTTCGGGCATGTGGTTTGGCATCTCATGCTTCATTCAGCACAGGACTTGTTTGGGTCACTCAAACATTCGTACAATAACGAGGCAGCAATTTTTATTTTTGTGACCGTCATCAGCTAAAGGATTTGGTATTTTCTACATTGCTCAAGTACCCCAAACATGTCAGAAACAGAACCATTTTGCAATTCTACCCTACCCTTATGCCTCTCTGTATTCCTTACAGATGCTTTTCTATTACATTTTACACATTTTAGAAGAAAAGCATCTGACATTTTATGAAGAATAGCCCTAGCACCAGTGTAAAGTACAAGTTTAAATCAGAAAGTTTTAGATCCTCCTTTTTTCCCAAACTTTTAAAAAATGTTGTATGTACTTATGGTGGAATTTTCAAAGTCACAAAGAGGATCTGGACAGCAGACTCCAGCTCCTGTTATGAGATCTGAACATCCAAATCCATATACATATTGGATATACATTAGGCTTTGTACACTTGCTAGTGAACAGCTAGCAAAGCTACAGCTGTGTAACACCCAAAAGTATACTCTATTTGATTCTGCAACACCTTAGTTATTTCAGCCAGATGATCTACGGGGAACTATGCCACATAACACCACAGTGAGTTAATTCTGTTGTGCCAGATACTAAAAGCAAGAAGCTGCAAAGCCAGTTCACTTGCAAAGTAAGCCAAATACTAAACATAAACCTTCCACCAGAGTACATTCAATTACAAAGTGGCAACTGCCTCCTATTCCAATTAGCGTTTTTACAGGATTTTAAGGAACTCCACCCTTCACTGTCAGCCAGCCAGTGCCAGTTCCCTCTCTGCAAGGATTTCTCTGCGTCCTTCACCCTCAGGGGGGTGGTTTTCAAGGGGTGATGTAGTCAGCATGCCCTGGGAGGAGGTCTGATCCCAATGGCCCTGCACACCTAGAATGGCCAGCTGGGTTGCCAACTGACCTTTGACTCCATGAAGTGTAGAAGTATAAAGCCATACAGGCATAATCATCAGTCTGGTATTCTAGTAACATTATAGGCTTATAGGTGTCCCAAAGAGAAGAGTTAAACATAGTTCTTCAGAAAACTACATGACAGTTAAAGAATACAAGTGAGATACAGCAAAGAGAATTGACGGCAACCAAATGTAAGTGAGAATAGGAATTGGTGGTACCATAGACTTAGCAACAATGGTTCATTTTAATCTAAAACTTCTTTAGGAACAAACAATTCCTGGCTATAGATGAAGATAAAACACAAATTAAATATGGACTAGCAGGTAACTAGCATTTTTAGTATCATTTTAGGAAATAGGTATATATATTTTTATAATCTGTAATTATGGATTCCCTAAAAATATGAAAGTTTTTCCTCTTTGTACAGGAATCTGCTTGAACATCAATTTAATGATTACTACTGGTAGATGGAATTTTTATATCCATTTGGTAGTGATTTACACCAGTGTTTTCAAGGCTGCCAACAAGCAAATCCAGAAGGCAAGCAGCCAAAATTCCAGAAGAGACAACTGTCTTTTATTTTATAGCTTATGCATTTTGAGCTTAATATGATTTTCCACTAACAAGTTCTGTACCTTCTCCAAAGTGCTAAAACTGGTGTGCAGAATTGCAAAGTAACACAGGCTCTTCGAGGCAGGCCAATATTAAACTCATGGTAAATTATAGAAGTTACACGGTTTACTTAGGGACAAAAACATTAAGGTTAAAAGAACTACACATGATTTATTGCAGACACTTGTTTAAATGGTCACATTTTTAAGGTTGACTATATATGAAATAACAATATATTGGCTAAGGTTTGTTTCACATTTGATACGGAATGAAAAAATACGTAAGAGACAAGGAAAAGATTGCTGTAACACTTAAAAGGAGCACAAGGTATACATTGGTTATGTCATGTGCTTGATAAATAGGATGCAAATAATATCTAATCTTTTCAAAAAGGCATTGAAAACAAGCTGCATTCGAAGGAGCAAAAATGTTACAAAGAGAAACAGGGTTTTCTCACTTTTCAAGCCGAACTATGGGAAGTGGGCACACATTAGCACGGAGAGCTCCAAATCTTGTGCTAAATATGATGACTGAATGCCTTCTAATGCTAATAGTATTCCATTTGCAACAGCAATATTAGTGCGGAAAACATTACTCATCCATTAGCCTAGACTCTATGCATGAAATGAGGCCCTAGCTACCACTTCATATCCATCGTTGTGAAAGACCAAGCACAGTTTTCCCGTGTAAAGCATTTATTCTTCCACCAATCAGCTATTGGAAAGATGACCCCTATCAGGACAGCTTGTGCTCATTGCTCCTCCAGGCAATAGCTACCACTTGACCATTACCACCTGAAACTAAAATCAGATTAGCTAAGTTGTTGACCATATAGAAAAGATAGTTCTGTGTGCCATGTGTGCCTCCTGAAACTATAACTGCACAGAACTGAATACTACAAAGAACACCTCTCATTCTACTAGGAATTACTTTACAGATCATGTAAGTCAAAAACAAACAGGCTGTAGGTCGCATAATGTTAACAGGTGGAGAGTAATATTAATTCTGAAACAATGGCCTTAAACTGATATTCCATGTTCAGATAAGAACTGGGAATGACTCCTCCTCTTTGCTTTCCTCTTCCTGTCATGGGGTTTTGTTTGACTATAAAACTTATCACACTGTCTCCCTTCTTAGTAATATTTGCTATCCTGAAGAGTTTCTAACTTGTCTCATTTCATACTCCACGGCAGTACAAAGAACAAACATCAGCTTCAAAAGAAGTACTCTGGCATAGCAGTATGGATCCCAACACATGACAGTATAGTGCGGGTGTAGCCTTAGAAACAGGACCTTTTTCAAAGACAGGTTATGAGCCCACAGGCTGCAAATCTTGACGTGCATGACTGAGGAAATGACAAAAGCCACTGCACAAATGATGCTGATCCCACAAGACCACTCAGTCTAACAGCACTGTATGCTTTTCCTCCACCTGCTATGACCTGTATAATATACACCTCTGTACACATACAATTTATAACAGATTCCCAGGCACCAATTAGACCCTTCCCTATTGCCAATTTTAATGCACATTGTGTGAAAGACTTTTAAATATACACTGAAGAGAAACAAGAGTTACTTTAGAGGTATTTTCTGTGTATTTTATTGATCTAATACAATATACAAGCATATGCAGCAGTATAGGCATGTGCATGTGTCTGGATATACATACATACACAAATTGCCATATGTATGATACATACAACAAACAAGGCCAGATTATCTGGTCATGCAGAGATATGCCCAGCACAGGACCAAAACCCAAGGTGGAGGCATAGAAGCTCTTCTGAACTGTAACACTCTATTCCTACAGATGCCTGGGGACCAGGACAACTTCTGTAATAGGACAGACAGTAGGTATCTATTTTAGATCTAGTAATAGAGAAAATGGTTGCTTTTACCTTTTATCTGTTTTCCAAGGGTGATCCATTATTATTCAGACAATCATTACTTGCCGGCTTTACAGCAAGAGATAAACACAATGTCCACAGAAACTGCTAAGTGGGATTCTGCAGCACAAAGATATCTTAGAAAACCTACTGGGGAGCCATGGCAGATGATGAAACTGCACCAGGCCCAACAGGCTGTTGTGACCCAGGGGCTGAGATGTGGAAAGCCTGGGCAAACACTTGAGAAAGAGCTCAGTAGGAATCCTTGCTTTATTCTTTGCCCACCCCCAAACCTGCTGTACTTACACATGCCTCTAGTACCCTCTTCTACTACCACCACAGAGGTGGCCAGAGCGCACCAGTATGCTAATAAAGTTTTTCCACGGAAAAGAATTGCTACTGTTATTTGTTATTGACATATTTAATGACAAAACCAGTAAAATTGGTCAAGTTGGTTTTCAGGCACCTGGCTCTGTGATTTACCACAGGTTTTTGGAGCTGAAAGAGGACAAACTTCATGGCCTCACGGTGAATTCTGGGAAGAGCAAGGTGGATAGTTAGCATGTTTGTAGCTATTTTATATTTTAACCTTTTCAGATCATGAAAACAAAAATAATACTGGTGATATAGCTCTGACAGGCATATTTTGCTTTTTATATGGTAATAAAATACATTTTAAGCCATATTTTTTTTACCATCATCTACTGTCAGTTAATAACCTAGACCTGAATTTCTTCCTCTGTTGCAAGTTCATGGGTTGGATAGATAAGACACGTTCCTATCATTTTGCCATCAGGCATTACTGGAGAAGCAGTAGGAGTCTGCATGGTAAGTAAAGACAGAGATGGAGAAAAACTTGGAGTCATGGTCCGTGGAGGGTATCCAAGATTACTGATAAGGGGAGTATGAGGGTATTTGTTAAATGCTTGTCCTGGTATTATATTTGGCATTCTTGGTGGCACTGTCCTTATGCCAGGCTGAGCTACTGAAGTTATCAAGGGAGGAGGGAAAACAAGAGATGTCTTCTCCTTAGGGAAGCTATGACTGTGCATGTTTTCATCTTTCAGTTTTGCAATATCATTAAACACTGAGGCAAGATGTTGAAATCTGGGTTCCCAGCTGAGCACATAATCCCAGTCATAACCACCTCCAGGATCCTCATCACGGGTGCCAAGTGTTGCAAGGGAATCATACCCAGAGTCCTGCCTATCTGACATCAAGATATACTCTCTCTTGAGGTCTGTCATTATGTCTTTCTCTTTTATTCCAATTTTCTGACATGTTGAAGATGACATTTTATGTGCGTAGGCTATGTCACAGGCTTTTTCTCTGCCTTCTCTTTTAATGGCCTGCATGCTCTCCATGGTTTGTGTGGTAGCCACAACATCTGTTTCTCCAGATTGACAGGAGAGCTGATCAGACTCTCTCGGGATCCCCGAATCTGGTACCCGTGAGCTGTGCTCACTCAGTGCTGAGCCGTCACTCTTTCTGCATGGATGCTCATTGATCCGTTTGATTTCCTCATCCTCTGCCGTTTCTCCTTCAGCAGAACAATGGCCACTGGACTCTGAATGCCTGCAGGGGACACCATCATCCTTCCCCTCTTCAATTCCTGCTAGGCTCAGCCATTCTGCTATAGCACCCATGGGAAGCATACTGCTCTCAGTACTATGGATTTTCTGGCAGGCCTTATCTTTGCTGCCTAAATTCACATTAGTAGCTGAGGAGGATGATCCTTCTTTTTTCACACAGGAGTTCATCAGATCTTTCCGCTTACATCTCATGGTAAGTGCAGTGAGACTGACAGCAAGCAGTAGCAACACTGTCAAGAAGGCTGAAATGCTAATAGTTAGGCTGTATGCTGACACTATGGGGTAACTCTGAGGAGAACTGGAAACATTTACCAAAACAGAGCATACTGTGAACCTGGACTCAGTTTTGGGGCTATGAGCTCTTACCAACAATTCCAGGGTGTCATCACTCCTTTTACTGCTATTTTTCTTTCTGTGAACTGTCTGAGACAAATAAATATTACCACTGGTTTGATTCACTGAAAAGAATGGAGAAGTTTTTAGTAGAGAGTAAGTAACAACCCCATCCAGTCCACCATCACTGTCTGATGCTGTCACCCTGCCAAGCAACTGGCCTGCTTCATTCTTCTCAGGGAGATTAAAGAAATATTGATCTTGTGTAAACACTGGGTCAAATTCATCTCTCCCCTCAATATCTACCTGAACTGTAACAGTAGCCAGTGAGTCACCTTTGTCTTTTGCTTGGATTATGAGACAGTACCTATTCTTACTTTCATAGTCAAACATTTGCTTTGTATGAATATCTCCTGTCAAAGGATCAATGAAGAACATGTCATGGTCTCTAGGAGCTTCACGATGAGCCAAACACGAAGACTGGATGGAGTAGGTAAGGTGTCCATAGGAGCCTTTATCAAAATCCAGTGCATTAACAGAGCACACAAAAGAAAAGGTAGGCAGATTTTCACTGACAATGCAGCTCAAGCTGGGAAACAAAAACAGCGGGGCATAATCATTGTCATCCAGGACACTAATAAGGACAACAGAAAAAGCCACATTTTTTACATCAGCTCCTCCATCTGTGGCTTGTATGATCAGAGTGAATTTCATGGTATCCTCATAATCCAGCGTTTTCATCAAATCCACTGATCCTGTTTTCCCATCTAAGCGAAAATGTCCCCTGCCATTTCCAGAAATGATAGCATAAGTGACCTCTGCATTAGTGCCTGCATCGCAGTCATTTGCTGAGACTTCAGTGATGTGACTACCTACAGAGATGCTTTCTTTGACATGAACATGGTACTCTGGGCTGCTAAATACTGGTGGATTATCATTGACATCCAGCACAGTTATTAGCACAGTAGCAGTTGAATTCAACGAGGGTATTCCATGATCAGAAACAAGGAGGACCAAACGGTGAGAAGAAGCCATTTCCCTGTCAAGAGCATTGATCAAAACAAGACTGCCAACAAGTCTGTAGGATGTTTCTGACTCCATGACTCTTGTTTCCACAGTGAATAAATTCTTGTCATTGCCATCAATAACAAAGTATTCAACATACGTGTTTTCATGTGTCCAATCATAGTCAATGACTGAAAACAGGAGGATGCTTTCTCCAACTGAGACATCCTCCCTCACACTGAGATTGTACAGAACCCTTGTGAACTGAGGGGCATGGGTATTTACATCTTCTACGTGCACCTCTACGGAGGTAACTGCACTCAGGGCTGGACTGCCACCATCTGTGGCTTCTATCAGGAGCTGAATAGTGGAAATCTTTTCCAGTTGTGTCACTGGTCCTGTAGCAAACACTGAACCTGAAAATAAAACACAATTAATAAAAGCCCATGCTTCACACTCACTAAGGCAAGTAAATGTGATTCCAAAAGCTGAATCTATTTAGTCATACTTGAAAATGACTCAACTGTAATGCCTGCACACCCCAAAGTAATTCCCTTGCATCCAAAGAGTAGTGGGTTAACAGTTCAATGTCTAGTTTTAAACCAGTGACGAGTGGTGTCCCCCAGGGTAGCTGTACTGGGACCAGTACTGTTTAATATTTTCATCAGTGACATAAACAGTGGGATCAAGTGCACCCTCAGCAAGTTTGCTGATGACATAAAGCTGTGTGCTGCAGTTGACATGCCCGAGGGACAGGATGCCATCCAGAGGGACCTAGTCAAACATGAGAAGTGGGCCCATGTGAACCTCATGAAGCTCAACAAGCCCAAGGTCCTGCACGTGGGCTGGGGCAACCTCCAGTATCAATACAGGCTGGGGAACAAAGGGATTGAGAACATCCCTGTGGAGAAGGACTTGGGGGTACTGCTGGATGAAAACTGGATATGAGATGACAATGTGCACTCACAGCCCAGAAAGCTGCATCACTAGAAGCATGGCCAGCAGGTCAAACGAGCTCAAGGAAGGTGATTCTCACCCTCTACTCTAGTCTGGTGAGACCCCACCTGTTACACTACACCCAGCTCTGGAGTTCTCAGCACAGGAAAGACATGGACCCATTGAAGCGGATCCAGAGGAGGGCCACAAAAATCATTAGAGGTCTGGAGCACCTCTCCTATTAAGTCAGGCTGAGAGAGTTGGAGTTGTTCAGCCTGGAGAAGAGAAGGATCCAGGGAAACCTTGGAGAGCAGCCTTTCAACACTTAAGGGCGCTTACAAGCAAGGTGGGAACAGACTTCAGTAAGACTTGTTGCGATAGAACAAGGGGTAATGGTTTTAAACTAAAAGAGGGTAGTTTCATGCCAGATATAAATAAGAAATCTTTTACAGTGAGGGTGGCAAAACAGCAGAACAGGTTGCCCAGAGAAGTTGTGAATGCCTCATTCCTGGAAACATTCAAGGTCAGGTTGGAAGGAGCTCTGAGCAACCTGATCTAGTTGAAGTTGTCCCTGCTTAATGTAAGGGTTGCACTAGATGACCTTTACAGGTCCCTGCCAACCCAAACTATTCAATGATTCTATGATTCTATGAATCATTGCTTACGCTGCTAAGCCAAGGCCTGCCCACAATGTTGCAGTATCAAACACACATATTGCATTTAAACCAGCAAAAATTCCTCTTCCTAGTAACAGGCTGAACATGCAACGTGCATAAAATAAAAAGCAAAGCAAGTAAATATAGGCTCCTTACAAGAGGCAGCTATGCTGTGCAAGTTCATTGCCGAAGGTCATTAGTTCTCCCATTTTATTTGCAGCCCAGTAACAGCCTTATGGGCTTGTTTGCTATTTAGATAGGTTTGCCAATAAGTTATGTAAACATGTTTCATTCAAATTGCTTATCTGAACATGGGGGTTGGATGATCTTGAAAGAGCCCTTCCAACCCAACCGTTCAATGACTCTATGCACACAAGCCATCCACTTCTACTTCACTCTTCACAGTGTATAACTAAGCACCAGAGACAACACTGTGTGACAATTTTCTGATCACAGCTGAAAACAGCCACTAGAAAAACATAAAGGCAGGTTACAGAATAAAAAAAAATGAGTAAAAAAGAAAACCATCTTAACTGGGTGAAATAAACCACTGCTGACAACTTGACTTCTACAACAGCCTAGCACTTACACTCAGTGTTTGTAGTTATCATCACCCAACAAACATTGCATTCAAAAATTCGTCTCATGCAAACATCTGGGAACAGCAAGTAAGAGATAAGAATTTGCTCACTGAACAACAGTTGCACATAATTTTTCCAGCATCTAGTAATCTGAGGCTGATATTTCCAAAAATCTTACCTACATATGCATATGAAGAGACACACAGTTTTCTACCTCCCAGAATGTTATGATATTAGGCTGGAAAATTTAAATTGGTAAATCTCTGAACTATTAAAGAAAATTATGTAGAGTGTTCTCAATTTAGAAAATATTTAAATTCCATTTAGGATTATAGGATAATATAAGTTCTCTAAAGATGCAATATTAAAAACATACTGTCCAAGCTGTAGAGAAGCTCCATTATGACAGGTTCTACTTACGAAAAATAGGAAGTATGAACTTAAATTGAATGAAATCTAATACATGAGCTGAAACGTTATGAATCAATGCAAAACATACAGCAACTTTTCTATCAAAACACATCAGAGGAATAGCACCTAGAGGATGTTGTGAGTGGTTGCCCTGTGCACGCTTCAGGGACAAACTGAGAACTCCAGCCTTCAATGCAATCAGTTCTTCAGTGATAATGGTAGATTTAGCCAAAACATATGGTGGACTTCTGCCTCCAAAGATTTCCAGAACACAAATGATCACTGGCAACAGATGAGGAAGTGCAATAGGACCCTTCTATTTACACTAAAAAAGCTGAAGTAATAAACCATGCTTACAGACTCACCATTCTTGTGATCAATGGAAAATCCCTCAGAGGAAGAGAGGATTTTGTAGGAAATCATTCCGTTTTGCTCCGAATCCCTATCCACAGCAGAGACTGTCAGAACAGTGGCATCCATAGAAATGAGCTCTGGCAAGCTCACCTGACATATAAAGCAAAATCAGAGTTTTGATAAAATTTAATAAAATATTTTGAACATAAAATAATGTTTTCCTTCATTTGGATCTCATTGGGAAAAAAAAAACAAAACTAAGCCCAAACACAGTTCTCAGGTTTGGAAAAAATTCACCTACCTGTTTTCTTCTGGGACAAAACTATAAAGAGTTGAGATATTGAAAACGATGCATACAATACAGCCAAAATTTATAGTAAACTTTAACCATTAGTAAAATCCATCTAGTTCTAGTTCATAATGACAATTAGTTCAAAGAATCACTGAATCTCTTTTTTCAATAGTAGGCTAATGGAAAGAATACCTACAATAGACTGGAACTAAAATTGGCTTTACTCCCTGCTTGTAGAATTACCTTGATTGTCGTACACAGAATACAGTCTGCAGTCACCATCTGGAGTACACAGTTGACCATTACAAAAAACAATACACATACCCTGAAAATTCCAGCACCAGAACACTTAATCATCACCGGATTATTCCTAGAATTTAGTTTTTAAAAATACTCTCTTTTTTCTTCATATAATTTAGAAAACTAGCAAAATTCTTTGCCTTCTTAAGAGCTTCCATTATTTGAAATCCAGATACTGTACTTTTGTGTCCAAAGTTTCCTTCCACCTTATAAATCCAGTTTCAAATGAACAGTATGATACAGCAGCTACCTATGTCATAATTTCAAGTGTTAGTTTAAATCATTTTAACAGAGAGAGTATATGTATATAATAGCCATAAACATATATGATACTATATATGAGAAGTATAAATATTAAAACACTTGAAAGGACAATAAAAGGGTAAAAATTACAGGATGATGAATAGGGAATTATATGTATCATAGGCCAAAAAGAAGCAATGTATCTTACCATCCAAGCAACACATCAAAACATAAGCATTGTGAGGAGAGAAGCTCAGCTGTTTATGTTAGCACAGTCAATAGAGCTACACTGTTTTGCATCAGTTAATAATCCTGCTTGTAATGCCTGCTCTGATCTACAGAAAAATTCCAAGCACTTGCACAAGCAAGTACTTTTCTAAACTATTCTCCAAAATCAGACACAGATGGGGGTGAGGAAAACTTAAGGCAAGGTCTAAAGTCACTTGAGCAGTAATAGTGCTGCTTTTTTTTTTCCCCAGAACTTAGATTTATAAGTTTAAGTGGGCAATTTACACAAATCCTGACAACTCAGGCACCTGAGAGTTTCACAGGTGCCTACAGTCTGTCCCATACTTATCTAAGTGACTAAACTGCTGTGCCTGCACATGCTCAGAGCTTGAAATTTCTTTACTAAGACAAATGTTTAGCTTATTTCTCGACTAAATCTGTCTGAGATTTATAAATGAAGCATTACTAAATCCACCACTTCTGTGGTGCCTCATATTTTTGGCTCTGAACACTTCTACCACACACAGAAAGCACCAAGTCAGGCAAATAGCTCAGTTCACAGGATTGCAGAATGGCTGAGGCTGGCAGGCATCTCTGCAGGGCATCTTTTCCAAGCCTTGCTTAGAGCAGGGTCACCTACAGCAGGGTGCCCATGACTGTATACAGTTGAGTTTTGAATACCTCCAGGGACAGAGAATCCACAAACCCTCTGGGCAACCTGTGCCAGTGCTTAGTCACTGTCAGAGTTCAAAGGAAAAGAAAGAAGTTTTCCCAGATGTTTGAACAGAATATCCTGTACGTCAGTTTGTGCTCACTGAACATCACACAGGAACATCTGACTCTGTCATCCTTATTCCCCCCACTAATATTTACACACATTGTTAAGATCATCCCTGAGCCTTCTCATTTCTAGGCTGAATTATCCATGTTCTAGACTCTCTTGGACCTCAGCCCGAGCCACACATCTTAGCCCCACGCAAAGAAGTCCTATGGAAACAACTCCTCTGGCAGCCTCACCTTTCCTATGGCAGCCTTACTGCAGCCTAACTTCACCTGGAGCTCCAGATTTTGTCTCTCTCCCATCCGTAACTCTAATCCCAAGCCATCACACATGCTGAGACTTAGCCCAAGTCCCACAGCCTTAGGGCTGATGAAGTCAGCGCAAAACCCTTCTAGTAGTCTACTCTTGAGAGCCTTCTATGATATTATGCTCACTTCAGCAGCACCTATACCAAAATTGGAATGACATAGATTAGCATGGTTCCTATGCAAGGACAATACCCAAATTCATGAAGCATTTCAAATATTTTTTGGTTTTAGGGATCTGGGGGTGCTGGTTGGCAGCAGGCTCAGTATGAGTCAGCAGTGTGCCCTGGCAGCCAAGAGGGCAAACTGCATCCTGGGGTGCATCAAACACAGTATAACCAGCCGGTCAACAGAGGTGATTATCCCACTGTATTCAGCACTGTTGTGGCCTCACCTTAAATACTATGTGCAGTTCTGGGCCCCATAGAAGGCTGGGAGAAGGGTGGAAGAAAGACGTGAAGCTGGTGAAAAGTCTAGAAGGAATGTCCTATGAGCAGCAGCTAAGGACTTTGGGCTTGTCTAGTTTGGAGACAAGGAGGCTGAGGGGTGACCTCATCACCCTCTACAGCTTCCTGAGGAGGGCACATGGAGAAGGTGCTGAATCTCTTTTGCCTGAGATCCATCAACAGGACATGTGGGGATGGTTCAAAGCTGCACTAGGAGAAGTTTAGGCTGGATATTAGGAAGCATTTCTTTACCAAGAGGGTGGTTAAGCACTGGAATAGGCTTCCTAGAGAGGTGGTCAATGCCCCAAGCCTGTCGGTGTTTAAAAGGCATTTGGACAACACCCTTAACAACATGCTTTAATTTTTGGTCAGCCCTGAATTGGTCAGGCAGTTGGACTAGATGATAGCTGTAGGTTCCTTCCAACTAAATATTCTAGTCTAGTCTAGTCTATCCTGTTCCTACTCTATTCATGCTGCAATTCCTTTAATTGTCTTAGTTGTCCATGCTACTAAATCAGCTTTATTTCAAAACACCAGAGGACAACTTGACTTCTACAACAGTCTAGCATTTCAAATGCTTGTCCAGAAGTCTAAAAGCTGAGCCCTGTACCCTCCTCAGTCTAGTAGGGAATGTTGGGAATGTCAAAACTCATATGCCTCACTCTCTGGATGAGTGCCATCGTGATAAGGCAGGGTTACAAATTACAAACTGTATGTGCATAACCTACCACAGGGGCATTTGATACACCTCTGTGGAGCTGTCTAACTGAAAATGCAGAAATTCATACCATAGTAATGGGGCCAGAATAAATGTACCTACTTGTTTACCATTGTCTCAGAAGAGGGAGTTCTAAGCACTGGACCCTGTTTGCCAAACTGGTTTGAATTGTATCCAGTAACTTCTAGTAATGAATGAGCGGTGATGGAGTACAGCTAGCATTCACACCACTTTTCTTCTGAAGTCAGAAACCACAAACATGAAAATTGAACAATTTCCTCAGTCCTTTTAGCAGAATTCCTAGGAAGGAGCTGGGGTTTCCCAGAAGAGCTATGTTCTGTTTCTGCTCAGTAATAGTTTGCAGAGACCTTTCTTCTCAGTGCTCAAATGCGTTTTAAAAACAAACATGAACAAGACAAATATAAGCACTACTACTATTTATCATCATATAAAGAAAGACATCACGTTTGTTGTCCATTTGCCACGTTCTCACCTGATATGAATCCTGAGTGAACACTGGTGGGTTATCGTTGATGTCCAAAACAAGGATGGTAAGTTCTGCTTCTGTTTGATGTACAGAGTCTGAAACTATAATTCTCAGCTTATACATAGCAGTTTCTTCAAAATCCAATGGTTCCACCACAGTGACTACACCAGTGTGTTGATCCATGGCAAACTTCATTCCAGGACTACTATCATAAATAAAACCAAACTGAAGTGCTGGCCACGAGTCCACATCATTTGCTGACACCCGAGTCACTATAAAACCAGGTAGGGCATCTGAAATAATAATAGTCAGAGTAAGTCATAGCTAAAAGATAATGTTACAGTTTCTGAAGATTTTGCCAGTTTTATAATTTTGAATCTTAGATATATGTAATCTTTCTGTAGTAGCTTTTGGGTGTATTTTGACTTTGTGTTTTAGAATAACAGCAATATCCAGAAGTGGTATGGAAACAGCAGTGGATTTCTTCAAATACATTTACTTTATCCCAATTTTAATTCAGGTCTTCTTTAGACTTTCCCAGATCCAGTGTAGCCATAACCAGCAACAGGAACTTCCACGGTTTTCCATAAGCATTTAGGTGATGTTAATTTATTGAACAGTCTCACAAACTTCCACAAGAATATTTAACTGGGGCATCAGAGTCTCCTCGTCTGTGTAGAATCAGTGATGCAATTCTGAAGCTTTTCTGAAGGAGAAGGCTGCCAGAGAGAAATGACACCTCCAGCCAAACCTACATGGCACGAAAATCTTGGGAGCTCAAGGTATAGTCTTGGCTGACAAACTGGATACAGACAGCTTTTGTCATGTGCCAAATTGACAGTACCGGCGATTGCAAACTGAACCTATTAGTGATCATCTAATAAATCCTGGAGCTAACAGAAACTGAACCATTTCTCATTCGCATACCTGGGGCATTAAGCCTAAAACACGCTGTGCAATGTCCTACAGTAAGTATTCTGAAACAGAGTACAAAAACCTGAATAAGTAGCCAATGGTTTAGAACTGCTGTGCATCTATGACTCCCATACTTGTCATTACCAGTGGGAGCTGAATTTAGAAAATGCTAATAAAAAAAAAAAAAAAAAAAGTATCAATAGAAAGATAGCCTTGATATCTTTTGTTAGCAGGAGTGCTGGAATTTCAGCACCTAAATCTTTATTCTGTGCATCACATTTACAATTCCTATATTTAAAAATACTGTGTTTAAGACTCAAGGTCTGCAAATGTTGAGCTCCTGTCACACAACATACCAGATATATGCTGAGATGGGAACTCAGGAGGTCCTGGGTCCCCCTTTTTATGATCATAAACAGGATCAAGTCATAGAGCATTTTAGTACTCTATTCAAACTTACAGAAAATATTTCTTTCATCACAATGAAGTTAAAAATGTCTAATTTCTAGCAATGCTGGGTTTAACACCAAGTATTTTTACTGGAGAAAAGCAGAAATTGAAGCTATCCAAAGAACATGACACAGGGTCCAGAATGAGCAGATTACAGACGTACTTTTGCAGAGTTTGTTCTCCTCTTTCTGAATTGCCTATGGTTTTATTCCAAGCAATTCTTAAACACAATGTCTAAAGATTAATGCTTCTGAGAACAAAAGCAGATACTTCAGTATTAATAAGATCCATTATGCTTTTTACTACAGTTGCTTGTTTACACAAATCACCAAAAGCACTATCGTCTGAGAAACCCCAGTCTTAACAAAACTTAGCTGTACTATCATATTTACCTTCTGGGACCGCCACTTCACTTAGTGGTTGGACAACTGGAGCATTGTCATTAACATCCAACACTTGTATCTGCACAACACTTGTAGCAGAAAGCCTGGGGTTTCCTTTATCAGCAGCTTGTACAACCAACCTACAATTATAGGAAGCAGTAATTTTCACTACTGGTTGGAAATCACTGAATTATCCACTGATTTTATAAGCAGGGGGAAAATTACAAACTAAAAGATTAGCCCTTTCTGCCCCTCATTGCAGCTTTTCAATTCCATCTTTGTGTGAGGTTGACTGGCTAGAGTTTTATTTTTTTGACTTGCAGGAAAGATGTCCAGGAGATTCTAAGTGGCAAGAACATGACAAAATAACACAAAGAAAAGAAAGTATTCATTTGTATTCATTTCACCCAATTTCATACCAAATGAAATAAAATAAGCTACCAAGACTCTTTCAAATAGGACATATTTCTCCAGATGGTAATTCAGAGCAGGAATTAAAATGTAAGTACTAAATTGTCCTCTGGAGGAACCTGACTGTCCTCATTGTTTATAAAGGGACAACAGGAATGTGAATATTTGGTAACATGAAAACATACAAAGTAATACTCAGCCAAAACATCTGCAGATATAGAATAGTCCCCCTATTAAATTATAAACGATAAAGTGAAAAACAGGATACATACACCATTTGACAATTGCAAAGTTCTCACTGATTTTAGTGGGACCAGAATCTCACTATCAGATTAAGAGAGTTTGCCTGTACACTTCCATTTTACACCTGCATAAGGATGGGTTGTAGACTCTCTTAACAACCTTAAAATTTCCACAAAGATAGTAGCAAAAAAAAAAAAGAAAATTGGTCAGTAATGACCTGATAAATTTAGGTAGAAGAATGCTTACTCTCTGTGAGAACTATCTTCTGAACAGCAAAGAACAAATATTATTGTAAGCAGGAATTATTTGAAAGACTGCTCCTCAGTATTAAAATTATCCAGAAGCGAATTCAAAATTAAATCTAGCTCAACAGGCTCAACAAGTGGTCTAAAAAAATAAAAAACCAAAACCAACCACCCAGCTGTGCAAAGGGATATACAAGTCACAGCTTGGCATATTAATTAAGTATTTTGTGTACTAGCAAATGTTTGTGCTTTGCATCATGTTTTCTGTGTCTCTCTGCAGATCTGAATGCTTTGTATCTCCCTCTTTCTTCTAATTCATGCTTTCTGTTTAAAGTGTCAAATAGATGTTACTTCCTACATGTTCACAGGACAATATAGAATACCAAGGTGGTTACTTAAACTGTGGATTGCAGCACTTCTGTTCCCGAACCCCACTAGCTGTGCTTTGGCATTTCCTGGTGGTTTCTGATGCCAACTGAACACATAACTCAAATTGCAGGCTAGTATTCAATCAATGACCATGTATAATTCCATATAGAAAGTGAATTTTTTCTAGAATGAATACTGGTAAGGTATACATATGGAAATATTTTACTAAAAATAATCACTTTCTAAGGTTTCAGGAAAAAAAATCTCATAAAAACATCTCAGCCAAGGCATTAAAATTAAGGCTCTGTCAACACTTTCATTATAACTCCTGTTATAAGGGACTTAGAACTTTTGGGGATGAAAATGTTCAATTTAGATAAAAAAAACAATTCCTTGCAAGCTTGAAACATTTTTGTTTCATAACATTTTGAAACTAAACTGGAAAACGGTTTTGAAAGTTTCTTTTGCTGTTCACGTTTCACCTAACAATGTAGAGATTAATAAAGTATTAATAAAGAAAAGAAATATAAAGCTTCAAGTTCCTTGAACAAACTGTCATTTTAAAAGGCTAGAATTCCTTTTCTAACCTAAACACTGAAATACATCAGGCTCCCGGTTAAAGACAGATAGGAGAATTATTATGCTTATGTGTTCGATGTTTCATCAACAGTAAACATCCTTCCTTTGAAGGATTTATTCCAGGCATTCTTTTAGAGTACTGGTTACAAATAAAATTTATTATGCTGTTTAAATGACTAAAAATCAGAATGGATGCTTTTGAGTCAGTAAAAAACTGAAGAAATAAACTCCAAATTAAGTGTTCTGTATATTAAGTTAAACCAAAGTATTTCCTTTAGGACACTATTATCAAATTACACTGACATTAAAAAAATCCAAACATATTCTGTTGATCTTTTTGATGTGGCTTTTGAAAAGTTATTCTGGTTCCTCAGAATTCCAATTGGATGTTTACAACTTTGAGGCTCCAGAGGACAGGAAAACTTGTGAATATTTTAACTGATGCCACAACCATATGAAAAAAACCAGAAGGTAATTTCTATTGACGCATGCACAGAAATCTACTTTTTATATAAATTGCAGTATATAAACATATGATTATGAATTCACATACTCATATTTTCTCTTCAAGACATGATTTATTTGCTTTCGAATTCCAATTATGACATGACCTGTATAGAAAAATGGTCATGACCACTCGATCATATTTACTCAGAGTTTCTTGGAAACCGGAAAAACCCTAATACTTAGTACAAGACAGCTTATAGATGGAAACAGCTTTCAGAAGCATCTTTATCAGATTATGGAGAAGAAAATCGGAAATGTATTCTAATTAAAGAACGGAACATGTGTGTCTATTTCTTGCATTTGGTTTAAGTGCTCTCCCTGTGTCTTTACATATTTTTTTTTAAAAAAAAAAAAAAAAAAGAAGAAAAAGATTCCAGGCAGGGAATGGCTGCCCAATTCTTAATCAACTAAAATTCAGGAACTGTGATCATTCCTATAGTGAATCATCACACTCACTTATATCAGTAAGTGTTGCCACTGATTAAACAAGACTTTATTTCTTCCCCTAAGTTTAAGATGTATGCAAGAATTCATCATACAAATGGGCAGCTTTAGTGCTGTCTCAATGCTGCCTGGCTTGCATGCAGGATTTGTGAGTAACAAATATCAACAGAACACTATAAAATATGTAACATGAGTAATCTCAAGTTAAACTGAACAAAAAGAATACATTTTTATAAGAACCTTGCATACAAACCTGTAAGATGAAGTGTTTTCATGATCTAGGACTGTATTAGTCGCTAAAATCCCTTGTGCTGAATCAATTAGAAATGCTGCATTTTCATTACCAGATAAAATTGAGTATTCAGTTTCTCCATTCAGCCCACTGTCAAGATCAGTTGCAAATATCTGTTTGGGTGCAAAACTGAGGCTTAATTCAAGATAGCAGAATGCAATTGCAGAAAGAAAAACCTTTTACTCCAGTCGTATTTCTGGTTACTTTTGACTGCACAGATGTAAGCAAATAATCATATTGGTCCCCAACATGAGTGTGATGTGAGGTCACAAAATCTGCTCATAAATTGCAATAGGATGTATATGAATTCTTTCCCTGAGTAATCTGAAATTCAGCTACATAAAGCACTAGGGTTAAACGTTATCATTTTACACTGCTTATATTACTAACAAGCCCTTAAAATATTACTGCTGTACTAATAGAAAAAGGGCAAAATAATTAGATTAAGTTTTCAGAGCTTTCATGGTATAGTTCATTAATTACTTTTTAAAACACAAATCAGAAAAAGTGAAAAGGGCAGAGGCAAGCTATAAAACCAACAGGATAAGCAACATTCAACAGCAGCAAACAGGTTTCTCAAAGACTCCTCTGACTCTTTGAAGAGCCATCTGTATTTTTCTGGTTGCTGAACAAGCATTATAATCACTACAGGATCCAAACCATAGCAGAGGCAACCAGACAGATTGAAAAAAGGAAACAGAATGTATTCTGTCATAAAATTTTGACTACACATCTGTGTTGACTGCTTTGTGATTTTTCTCCATTCCTGGACATATGTTTCTCTAAATAGAATGTCCATCAGTTTCTAATCACTTTGCCCTGGAGGCATTTGTAGCTTTCCATTTATTTATTCTCTAGAGGAGGAATATCTTTAGTACCTAACATGACCCTCACTGTGACCTGACTTGCAATGCAAGAACTTGTACTGAGGAAATTATGTGCTCTTCTAGTCCAACTGATGTCTTCTTTTGGTCTAACATGGCCAGCTGGAAACACTTTTGGAGAATAGATCCATTCAGAGAAAGAAATGTTTGCACATTTAAATTGAGACAAGCTGCTCTTAAGGCATCAAGTTTTAAATTGAACACTTGGGCTGACTCTACTATTCTGATGAGTTGAAAGTATTCTTTTTATTGCTATAGCCCTTTCAGTAGATGCCTTAATGCAAGACCCCGCCTTATATTATAACCAGAACCACAGCTTTGAATGGTGTTTTTCAACTACTTGAAGAGAGAAACAGAAAATAAAAAAAAACCAAAACCAAAAACCCAACAACAACAACAAGAAAAAACAAAATTCCAAGTACAGCTACACAACTATTAAGAAAAGAATTATCTTTCAACTTAAAAAACGTGAATGAAAGATCTGAAATGTGGGCTAGAAAAAAGAATTATTTAATATTTTAGATATTCAAACAAGGTAGTAGCAACAGCAAGAACCCCAGTCACAGTTTTTAAGAGATAGTTCTGGAGCGGTCCAGAACAGACCTATCAGGATTATAGTCATGAACAGATCAACCAAACATTTTTTTTAATACAGCACTGGGCTTGGGAAGGTGTATTTCCACTTACCTGTATGATGTCTGTTTTAGGACTTTGGCCTTCCCATACTGATGCTCTGTAATAGCTTTGCTCAAATTTAGGAACATTGTCATTCACATCTTGTATCAAAACTGTCACTCCACAAAGTGCTGAGTTTAAGCTATTTTCAGCCAAAACTGAAAGATGTATTTTATTCTTAACTTCATAATCAAGAAACTTTGGCTCTTTTACTGTGATTGCACCTGGTTTATTAAAATATAAAATAAAATTAAAAAGGGAGATGTGATATATGTAGTCAGGAAAAAACAAGTACAAATGCAGTTACAAAGTCCTTAATATATATGGTCTCCTTTACTGAACACATGACCAAATTCCAGCAAGCTCCCTCCCCACCATGTCCTTCCTCTACCTAACATCACCCCCCACATGCTAATTACTATACAAATCTCGGGCAGTGAAGTTTTCACTGATCAACTACCACATTGGCAATTTCCTGAAACAAAGCGATTTGCTTGTAGAGGAATAGACAGGAAGAAAGTGGTTGCATGATGTGTGCCTTTTGACATGTCACAGTGAGCTGGCTGTGCCTGAAGCGACTCTTGTCCCTCATCTGAGCGGCTACATTTAGCAACAGCTGTATCAAATTCTGTAAGGTCCTTGGAAATCTATGGTCATTGTTTTGACTTTCTAGGTAATACAGCAATATACTCAAACTTCATCATTACATCTAAACATCAAACATAGTTAATTTGTATGTTAATTTCATTAGAATTGAAATTCAGGTTTGTATAGATTTTTCAATAATAATGTCATAAGTATCTATATCCCAAATTGTAACAGCATAGGGACTCATCTACTGTGGCTCTCCAAGCTAATGCTTTTTAGTTTTTATTTGCTATGATAAGCAGCAGTTATGGGCTATTGTTCATGGATCTGCCAAGTGATCAAGAATTGCATCTTGAATATAAAGATTTCAAAGCTGGCAGGTTATCTTTCTTCAGCACAACACTTAAAAATTATCGTATTCTGTATACAGAAAAAGCAAAACAGACAGGCAGAAGGAATACACTTCAAGATGACAGATAGTAAGTGGAAGACTATAGCGTAGAGTGGAGCAAATAATCAAGTTTGAGGTACACCACCTAGGAGGAACATGTGAAAGAACCAGTTGCTCATTCTAGGGAAGTGCACACAAAGAAGAAACAGCGTAGCAGTCTCCAAATATCTAAATAATAGGTTTTTTGCCTTTGTCTTATGTCTTTTACTACTAGGTTAAGAAGTATTAAGTTTTAAGTTGTTTCAACAAGCATTCAGATAAGTATGAATAAAAGCTTTCCAACTGCCAAGACTTGAACAGGCTACTGAGAGGGTTTGCAGAATTGCTATCATCAGACGTTTTTAAGAACAAAACAGACAAACTTCGACAGATTTTGGCACAACTGATTCCCCTTCAGTGTCAGAGGATGGACTAGCTCATGTCTTTGGATCGCTTCCTACTATACTTCATATGATTCTGCAATATAGTAAATCCTCCTAGAATGGGGGAAAATCCCCAAAGTGGGGTTAATTAACATCAGCACTTAAAAAGACAAGTAGAGCAGACCTTTGGGTATTAAGAATACCTAACACAGAAATGGCATCAATATAGCTCAAAATACGTCTGCTGTAGAAACAATGGCTAGACTTACTGGTGTCATAACTTATGCCGAGGTTAAGAACTGCTTTTAAAATGTCCTGAAAGGCTGCACTTCAATTAACATCTTCTAAGAAACAGAAGAAAGGTTTCAGAAGAAAGAAACCAGAAGAAACCACAATGGCTCAAATATCTCAAAAGAAGACTTATGACCTCCGCTGCTATAGAAATTCCATTATTGTTCGTGAAGAGAGTGCTTATGAGACTCTTAAATACATCATGTAACCACTTTTCAGCCTGGCTTGGTAAAAAAGAATAAGGAAAATCCCACTTGATTTGTTTGTTTTGTTGTTGTTTTGTTTGGGGTTTTTTTTGAGCTGACACTGGAGAAGAGTCACTTTCTTGGGGAAAAACTTATCTGGGTTTAAGATGTGCTTTAAGATTAATCTTTCTGGCTTCATTTCAGTGAAAGAAGGACTTTGAAATCAAGTGTATGCACTTCAAGTGCCCCTCATCTAAACAAACCAAACCAATTTTAATTGTCCATCAGCATCAAACATGATAGCTTTACAGGAGTACACCACTTGATGCCTGCAGAAACCAGAATAATTAGAGACTAAAGCCTCCAGGAGCTCGGGAAGAAAGCCAATTGTTAAGAGTACAAACTATTTACACTATTTCTGAGGAGAACTGCTTACACTGACTATGCCACCCCAGCAAGACTACAGCTATTCAGAAGGCAAAGTCTTTCGTTGCAGATATTTAGGAGCCTAGAGGCAACCAGAGTAGCTGTGCTTTCTTGCATGCCTTAGATGAAAGCATGTAAATGCACATGGGGAATGTGCTGCTCTCCTGCCATCCAAATTTCCTGACGGAAGAGCAAGTGAAGCAGATTGCTGCAGAATGCAAATACAATTGCCTGAAACTTTGTTTGAGCATTAAACTCAACAACGGTCTAATGCTTCTTAAGTTAAGAGTGCTTTGAAGGATTACGTTTATTGAGGTTTGGGGCAGCTTTATGACGAGAAACAAAGTCGTGTCTCAGCTTGGATCACAAAGCAGTAAGTGTATCAACTCCCAACACCTGGTGATCAATAGTTAATCAGAATTGAGTGTTTTAAACAGGTATACTGGTGTTCGACTTCTTTCCACATCAAGTTTACAATACTGCAAATCTCTCCACATTTGTGGTTTTACTAATGATTTATTCATTGTAACAGGAAAGTGATATTCTAAGCTATCTACCCCCTGCTCTTGTGGTAGGAACTGCTTTATTTTAAAGACTAAGCTACACAC